GAAACTTGAAGTGTCTGCACGGTATCCTGCAATAAAAGCAGGGACAAGTGCCTGTCGTGCACTGGGTGAGTGGAGTCGGGAGGTGAAGAGCAGGGAACCTTTGGCCTTTGGCCTCTAGGGCCGACAGACAGACACATGAGTGAGAGTATGGCAAGGCGGAGGAGAAAGTCCTGGAGGACAGATACATGTGGTGTGATGGTCAAGGGATGCAGGCCCCAGGGAGGACAGCGCATGAGATATTAGGATTTGTGCTTTAATTCTCAGTCAGGGCTTCCTGTTAGAACCATTTGGAAGAAGTTTCACAAATGCCGATTCTTCTGATTTGATTCCGAAGATTCTGATTTCATGATGGGAATGGGACTTTGGTGGGGGTAATTTTAAAGCCCTGCCTCTAAGGTAAAGTGAATGTTGAGAAGCACTTGGGTATAGGAAATGTCTAAAGGGGCTGCACAATTCAGGGCCATGTGCAGAAAGAATCAACGAATTATTTGAGTAGTCGAATCACAACATATGTGGCTGGCAGAAATGGCTTCCGGTCAAGTCTGCCTGTAAACCTGGTTTGGCTTGCCAAATCCTTCAGGAGAGAGGAGGTGGTTTCATCTGTGCTCACTGCCGCTCTGAGAAGAACCCTCCCAAAGCTGTTCACTGGGTGCCAATGAGCGGCATCGCTGTCAGCAGCTGAGCTGACACTGCCCAGGTCCATCTCGCTGTCCCTGCCCCTCCAGTCTGCAGCCAAGGGGCGTTACTGACCTACACCGAAGTCTTGATCTTTCTGATTAACCCTCAGTTGTTCTCTCTGTCATCACTGCCATGCTGTCCTTCAGATACAGTTACTTCCTGTCTGGTCACCAAGCCTTCAGGGGCCCTGCCCGCCACTCCATTCCTCTCCCACACTGCATGCACAGGGATTTATTAAAGAGCATGTGCGTCGTATATCATTGAGGAATGGTGAGTCAGCTTGGCTTTCAGGAAGCAAAACAGGTTTCTAATAAACATTGGCTTATCCAAAGACAAAAGAAGTCGGGGCTGGGGATTTAGCTCAGTGGCACAGCACCTGCCTGGCAAGCGCAAGGTCGTGAGTTTGATTCTTGGTACTGGAAAAAAAAAAAAACAAAACCAAAACCGAACCAAACCAAACCAAAACAAAACAAAACAAAAACTAAAGAAGTCATAATGTGAGCTTTGAAAATTAAAAAAAAAGTGGATTTCTGGAGTTATCTCCCAAATCATTATTTTTAAGCTTAGAGAAGCTCCAGGCGAAAGGAGTGTCTTCACGACTTTGTGGGTCTGGCTAGCTACATCTAAGGAAAAATTAAACACAATAAAGACAAAGTCAGTGGGAATGAAGGCGAGAAAGAAGTCTGGGCTCCCGTTCTCCTTTATAACCATTCAGACGTATTCACAATAAATAACTCCTAAAAGGACAAAAATGTAGCACAACCATGCTGATTTTTTTCACACAGGTTGAGTCAGCATCACTTGTGTTTGATGGGTGCCCCTTTAAATTTCAGCTTCTGAAATCTTGCTTCCCTTCAATGCCATCACTGAGCATTGTTTTACTTTTGCCTTTATTTCCTGTCCCTAAATGATGACTGTGCTTTGATGTTTTACTTACTAAGTTCGACCACATAGTTTATGGGAAATTATGGAAATCTCCGGTATTGAAGACCACCACTAACAGATCTCCCCTTTCAAATGCAGTTGTTTCTACTTTTGTCCCTTGCTTACATTTATTTCTAGTTTCTGTGAACCAGACTAATTGCCCGTAACAGGTTGTCTTTATGCTCTTCTTTCTTCCTTTTTCAATTATACAGAGCAATTCTGTTTTCTTTTAATAGTATGGATGGTAAGAGTTAATTATAGTTTCACAGACTTCTACTAGAGGGTGTGCTCGGGCAACATCCACACTGATTTCCTGCCAAAATTTAAGCAGACTTCAGTCCAAATCGAATGGGTAATTCCAGATTTACATGGAGTTGTTACACCCTTCCCCAAAGCAATCTGATATTAGCTCTCTGAGATCATGTTTGTTCTACAGTTTTCAGTGTCTACTACAACTTACTTTGATGAAAGGTTTTTCAGCCAAATCCCGTGAAGGTGTCATAAATAGAATAGCTTTGATCATAGTGAAAACGTTTTGTTGTAGCAATACATAGGAACCTATCACATCAATTCAGACTTCTAAAACATTTTTATGCAGGATTTATTTTTTAAAGCCTACTCCCTCTAAAAAGCAGGATAAGCTGAATTAGAAGAGAGCTTTTTCAAGAACGGTGCCAAGCGAATACAAAGTTTTTCTGTGCACTGAGTGGTGAGTAGTCTTAACCAGCAACCTCTGAGCAGAGTAGGTGTTGGGCAGTACAGTTTATTAATAGTACTACATACACTTGCTTCAGCACAGTAGAGCTTTGTTAAAGCACATCAGCTGCACATGGTAGAATGTAAATGGCTCAAATTTAATTAATCGCTAAAATTCTGTTTAAACGTAAACAGAAGTTTTAAAGCAAGTTTTAATGGGCCGCCACCACCATTAAATGAGCTATATTTGCATAGAAAATTAATTAAATGAAGTCAGTGATTCATGAATGTGCCTCTTAGTTCTGAGTTTTGCCAATTTACAGTTAAGGTCATTATTTTGTTGTATTTCTTGTTTCAACTAACCCTTGCAAAGTAAATACAAAGAATATGTCACTTGTACATAAATGATAGCACAAAATAGGATAAAAGTCAAATGGTAAGCATAACTGCAGAACAACTATCTGTAACACTTTATTGATTTAGTCATCTTTGAGTTGAAAGGAAAGTTTCACTCTTAAATTTTTACTATTTTTATGAGTACTTTCTACATGTGACTTTACTGCTATAAAGGTAAAAACTGTGATGATAAGCAATGGTGAGGAACATTTTCTACAACTGGATTTACCTGTGAATTGATATGCATATCAAAACTTAATGTTAAGTAATGATTTTGGAATCCATAGACAGTTGTAAATTTTATACCAGATAATTGTGTTTACTAAACATTATTTACTAAACATCTTAAACACATTTTGCCAAGTTTATGTGATTTATAGATGCTATTAAAATTCAGTGTGATTTTATACCATCGCTTTGAAGGAGATGAGAGGTCATTTATAAAACTACGTTAAAAAAATAAATTGTACTGCTATAAATAAAACTAAGTTAAAGAGAACCTGAGTATCTGTTAGATGATTATAAAATGTACAAGTCAGTTACGAAGTTGGTAATAAGTGTGAGAAACAGAGAGAGCTAACTTGAGATCTACTTTCTGTATTTCACTGTAGTACAATATATAACTATTAGAAGTTTGCTTTCTCAACTGCTGAGGAAAGAATTATTTGCAAAACATCATGAAATAGGATAGAGGAAAAAATTCTGAGCTGAGACCTGGGCTGTAGGTGGCCTGCTGGGTGCCCTTGGATCATGACATGTTACAGGTTCCTTGCTGTGTGGCTGGGGTGATCGTGTCCCCAGGGTGATCAGCAGTGGGTCCAGCTCTGGCTGCAAGCTACAGTGCCCTGGGGAGCAGTCAAGCAACACTTTCCCAGAGCACACCGAGAGTCCCTAAGGATAGGGCGTGTGTTTCTGTATTTCAAAAAATCACCTTCCTACTCCACTGGTTTTAATGCTTAGTGACTAAGCGTTGTTTGCTTTCACCCTTTGTACTGCTAACTTTGGCATAGTATTCAAATGGCCTTCACAGGTGAGTCTTGGACTCCAAGGCCCAGATGGAGAAGAGAGGTCAATGAGGAAATCACAGAAGTGCACTGTTCTGCTAGAAATAGGAAAGAAACACACTGTACCGAATAATTAAATCACATTCTAAAATTAAAGGGGTTACAAGACACAGTCTCTTTATTTTTCATTACAAAAACTTGAATTCCTAAAATGTCTATTTAATTTTAGAGAGGATGATAGATTAGGTCAATTAGGACCATGGTGAGGTAGGGGGTCAGAGAGCTTGTCACAAGCCTACATTGTTCTAAGCCGTGTCCCCAACACTCATAGAGAACTTGGCATATTTCAGGCACTCAGTGAACTGTTTTTTTTTTTTTGAGACAGGGTCTCACTGTGTAGTGTAGGCTGTCCTTGAACTCACTTATGCAGCCCAGGCTGGCATCAAACTCACAGTGATCTTTCTGCCTCAGCTTTCCAAGTGCTGGAATGACAGGCATGTACGATCATGCCTGGCTTTCTTCTGTATTTCTCTGTTAAAATGTAATTTTAATGGATAAGTGTCAAATTTTTTCTATGTACTATAAATTTATGAAGCATTTATATGAACTTTTAATGTCTATAATGTCTCACTAATCTATAGCAGTGCAAAACCTTGTACCTGTGTTTTTTACTTTTTATGAATAATTTATTAAAGTAAGTTTTAGATAGTGCTATTACTGGGTCAAAGGTTCTAACTCTTTATGGTTCTTGATAAGAATTGTTAAATTGCTTTACATATGTTAGTTATCTGGATTCAGCCATTGTATAATGTTTACACATTTCAAAATACCCTGTTATACATGATGGAATATATAATCTTTGTCATTTGAATGAATGAATGATGATTGTATAGATAAATAAATAGCTTTACAAAAAAATTATATCAACTTTTATGGCCATCAGGAATATATTGCTTTAACAGCTTTTTGACTATTTTTCTGAAATATGGTAGATTTATTTTAAATTAAAAAAATCCATATGTCTGCTTTCGTACATTTTAATTACTAGACTATATACACAGAGAATGACGAGATGTGTCTTTTGTATTTTCCATTAAAATACTTTCTTTATAATGCTAACAAATTAACAGGATACAGAAAAAGATGTAATTTAAATAGATACCATCATATACACTCAATAGTAGCTAATTTTGGTTTTCTTCTTTCTGATTTTTGTTTCTTCCTAGTTAATCACAGTGAGCAATACACTGAGAAGGAATGTCCTCTATTCTTGAGACCAAAAGATCTGTCTCTTCCTTTTAGGAAATTTACCAGTGGTGCGGTTCCTCATGCAACAAATTCGAGCGTCTGAAGGCCAGCCAGGTTGCTATCGGCATTCGCGACAACGAAAGGAAGGGAAGATCTCAGCTCATTGTGGTGGAAGAAGGAAGTGAACCATCGGGGCTTGTGAAGGTACTGAGAATTGTGGTGTTTGTTAAACTCCTAGCTGTGCCCACATGTGTGTGTATGTGTGTGTGTGAGAGAGAGAGAGAGAGAGAGAGAGAGAGAGACAGAGACAGAGAGAGAGAGGAGAGAACACATTTTTCTAATACTGAGCCTATGCTAAGATTGTATAAGAAGAAATGTCAGGATTATTTAAGTCATGGTACCGAGGAAATGGAAAGCCAGGGCCGTTTTCTCTCAGCATCTGTATGATTATCGAAGGAAAACCCTGACTGTCTTCTGGGGACTATAAGGACAAACACATAGGTAACACTTCTGATGGACTGTAAGATATGTTTTGGAAGGAAGATAATATTTCATTCATTCATTTTCTTCAATTTAAAGATTAATAGCTACTTCATTACAGGTATGAAATAAAATCTTACACTAAGATATTAGATGCAGAAACGTTTTAAGTATTTCGATCAAGCCAAGAAGCTTGTCTTAGAAACAAGGCACTTTTACTTTTACTATAGTTCTTAAATTGATATAAAAAAGACCTCTCTATAATCCTGTAGACCTACATCATTTACTAATCTTGGACAGTTAGTTGTGACCAGTCTTTCCCTTTTAAGAAAACTGCAGTGATGACCTTAGTGTCCATACTGTATAGATTCCCTAAAGTAAGATTATCAGAGGGTTTAATCATACTCAGAGGTCTTGATATAGGTTGGCAAGTTTACTCCTCTTTGTTTACTCGACGATATTTGTTGAACACCTGTGGTGCACCAGGCACTAAATATTTGCACCAACGGTTACCTCCCCGCACAAGCATTGTATTCTATCATGACCTAATAGAACTTTGTCAGGATTTATTATTGCAATTCCTTTTTTTTTTGTTTTGTTTTCTCCGGTACCGGGAACCAAACTCACGACCTTGCGCTTGCCGGGCAGGCGCTTTTGCCGCTGAGCTAAATCCCCAGCCTGCAATTCCTTTTTAATCTTACGCATTTAACAGTGTAGGTGGTTTTGTCTTGAATTTTATTTCTCTAATTTCCTAGGATTATGAATTTCCTCCCAATGATTTTTAGCTGTTACCATTAAATTTGTTCTAAAGAGTCTCTTGTAAATATATTTTTAGTGTTTCTGACTTACAGCAATGTAATACCTTAGTTGCATTTAATGCTTCAATTATATTAGTTACACAAGACACTGTAAACATGAAATAAAGTTTAAATATGTTGCAGTGATTCAGTAATCAAAAATTATATGAGATAATTTTATCCCTTATAACGTCCTTAAACTTTATTTCTTTAATGCCCCTTAACCATAGTCTTTTGCATTAATGACATTTTTAGGAATAATTTTAATTCAGTGGGGATGATGCTGGTGGTATAATGCTAAAAGACAGTTGGTAACATTTTATATACACAGTTATCTTAATATATAAGTTTATATGTATGTATCTGTCTATTCTGATGTGCTGTACCTAAATATCTGGAAAGAGGTGGAAATATTACCAGTATTATCTTTGACTGGGGATGTATCTGCTTTTCGTTTTCTTCCTCTTTTGTCCTTGTATTTTCAAAATATATCATAATGGACATGTATTAGTCCTTCTATGGTCAGAAAAAAGCTACTGAAAATCAAATTAAAGATAGTTTACTAACTTTTCAATAGTTACAATAACATTGTCAATAAATGAGACTTCGAAAATTCTTCAAAACAAATTTTTGATTCTTTAATATTCTTTTGGGGTCACTTAAATGTGACTAACCATTTGTGTCTTCTAACTTGCATATTTGGAAGCAAGATACATTTCTTTCTCTTTCTTCCCTTCCCCGCTCCTTCCCTTGCTCCCTCCCCTCTTTTTCTGCTTGTTTTTTGTAGTACTAGAGATTAAACCCAGGGAGTACTGAGCTACATCCCCAACCCTTTTTATTTTTTTATTTTGAAACATCTCCCTAAATTGGCCAGGCTGACCTTGAACTTGTAGTCCTCCTGTCTCACCCTCCCCAGTAACTGAGGTTGTGGGTGTGTGCCACCACGCCCAGCCCAGGTGTTTTCTAATGGATGGGAAGCCTTGTTTCGGCAGCTGTACAGCAGTCCTTTTATCCATGGCGGACGCGTCCCAGCATCCACACTGGAAGTCTGAAGCCATGAATGAACCAACCCTGTGTATTTCATGTTTCTTTCTGACATATACACATCTTGGATAAAGTTCAGTTTGTAAATTACCTAACATAAGAGATTAATGATAAAAGAGAACGGTGGTAACAGTACACTGTCATCAAAGTTGACTGTGATCCCTCTGAAAGCGTGGGATTTTCCCTTTAATATTCTTGGACTGTGATTGCCCTCCAGTAGCTGCAGCCACAGAAAGGGAGACCACGGGTGAGGAGGCTGCTGTGCTTTGGAAGAAGCAGAGCCAGGGAAAGGACTTGTCCCCTGGAGGGCAGAGAGGGCCCGGAAGGACGATCAGGCCTCGTCCACCCTGTTCCGGGGTTTGTGGGCCCAGGGCGAATTTGCTGACCTTTCCTTTCTCTGGTTCTTCATGCACAAGGGGAAGTTTAGACTGGCCTCTGCGGTCCCTTTGGCCCTAATGATCTGAGAGTCTGCTTACTCCTTGGGCTGTCGCAGTGTTTATTTCTAAATCTCTTGACCCTTGAAGTCCGTTTCCCAATGTGAGACCACTTGGGCTGAGGGGCTTAGCTGTGTGGACGCACCGTTGGTGACCGTGCTTATGGGTTCCATTCAGGGATCTGAAAGAGAAAATTGAAAAACCAGTCAACACGTTATACCGCATTATTATATTAAAATTAAAGCAGAGGCCCGAGAGATGGAAAGAGGGGAAGGGGAAGTAAAAAGAATTAAGATATCTTATGTCCATGTACCGATCCCCCGTGATGAATGTGGTCATTACGCACGGCAGACATGGACTAAGAAGAATGTTTTAAAAATGCAACAAATGGGAACATAAAGAAAAATGTGTGAAAATACAACTCTAATACTAGTGATGGGACCTAATACTTCAGTGTCCTGTAGGGCAGGGACTTCTTGTTTTGGGTTTTAAAAAATCTTACCAACCGCCTACTGTGTTTACATTTAATAATTCAGTGTCTGCACTTAATATATTCAGCATTGCATTATATTTGGCAGTTTTTGCTCATACAATGAACTGAAATAAATTTCCAGTGAGTGCCTTCCTTCAAGGAAGAAGCACCCTAATGGCTTTTTGCCGTTGTAATGTTCTGTAGTCTGATCACAGAGGTATGAGGTTATTTGATGAATTCACCTATGGTAAACTAGTCTGATGTCTAAGTTTTTGTAGTGCTATAAGCATCAGGATAGAATTCAAAAAAATCCCCAAATGGGAAAGTTACAACTTTATTTTCAATATTTTTTCAAGTAATAGGTGGCATTTCCTCCAATTGTAAATGTACTTTAAAAAAAAAAAAACCCAGTCTTTGTAGATCATAATTTAGTGATTTTTTTTTATCACAATTTAGTTCCTGTAGATAACTTCAAAACATTTAGGATCCTCACTACTTGGTAATTTATCACAATTATTAAATCTGCTACTCAGTAATATTATTTAATAATTAATTGAAAAACTGATGCTATTTTATAGTTTCTTAAAAATGTGTCTTGATACTTGCAATTCAATATAATTAGTTTCTGTTACAATACTTCATATTTTCTTTCATGCATTTAAAGATATTTTTCTTAAGAAAGGCACAATAGGTTTTACAAGTGGCCCGTAGTGTGTACACATATGCTCACACACATGCCCTTGTGGATGATGATAATGAAATGTCATTTCTTTTTCTGAGATTAAGGTACCTGGTGATTTTGCTGGAAGAGTCTAAAAAATCTAAACACCTTTCCAAATATTTTTACAATTTGACCTTTCTAGTAGATCATTATTAATGCGGATCTTTTAAAAGTATCTTTAAAAAACCTTGAAAGCCCACATGTATTAGTAATGGCTTGAAATCTAGGACTTTTCCTTCTTTCTTTCTTTCTTTCTTTCTTTCTTTCTTTCTTTCTTTCTTTCTTTCTTTCTTTCTCTTTCTTCCCTTTTCCTCTTCCTTTTCCTTTCCTTTTCCTTCTCCTCCTTTTCCTTTTCCTTTTCCTTTTCCCCCTCCCCTTCCCTTCCCTCCCCTTTCCTCCCCTCTCCTCCCCTCCCCTCCCCTCTACTTCCCTTCCCTTCCCTCTCCTTCCCTTCCCTTCCATTCCCTTCCCCTGTCTCTTTCTTTCCTTCAGAGACAGGATCTTGCTATGCAGTTCAGGGTCACCTTGAACTCACTATGTAGCCCAACCTGGCCTCAAACTCAGCCTCTTGCATCAGCCTCCAGAGTGCTGAGGCATCCACCACCATGCCCAGCCTTAAGGACTTTTCAGGCAGCTAAAGGATCCAGTTATCACTGTATATTAAATGGTGAATGTTTGAATATGTCTTTCTAACAGTAAAATGCTGTATAGATGGAATTTTGAAAATACTGAAAAATATTGAGTACTGATAGTATTGAAAAGTAATTTTTCTGAGAGATTTTTGAAAAATTTCTTTAGTTTGAGTCATTTCAGCCGTCTGTTGGTCATACTATTATTTTCACAGGATGTTAGTGTGGCTTACCTCTGGGGTTTCTATAAATTTATCCTTCAAACCAGAGCACTTTATAGCGTGAAACCAGCATGAATGAGCTCAGACTTAGAGCAGATACTAACAAGACTGTCTAGGTAAACAGCATGTGTGGCCACCTCTGATCTGCATCTTTAGCACTTTTATAAGCTGTGAAAATAATATTGCACAAGGCATTGAACGAAAGCTTTAAAGTCACATTGTACTCTGTGCTGATTTTCTCTTTGCTATAAACATATTCACCATGAAAGTTTGCACATAAATTATGTAAAACCCCTTCAAAGGCTTTCTTTTCATACTTAAACCCCTCAACGAATGTAAAAGAAAGTTAAATATCTCATTAGCCCTCAGGTCCCAAACGTTATTCTTTAAACATTGACGGGGAAGC